AGAACATATAAGTTAACTATTGGAGTTAAATTGTGCCGATAGTTCTATACGCTCTCCCAAAACAATAGTAACAATATTAACTTCTATCGCTCAATACTGTCATCATAAGAAGGTTTACACGACACATTATTCTTAAATGTATTTTATTATAGAAATCTAGAGACGCATGAAATTTTTTGCTTTTGTATTGTCATACACATAGTGAATTGACCCGTCTAAAAAATCATCACCCGGGTCACCCGACGGGTGGGCAATATGTCACCCGGGTGAAATTCGGGTCAGCTTCAAAACATCACCCAACGGGTCGCCTAACAGATCACCTGTCGGGTTACCCGTCAGGCTATATATCAGTTTAAAAAACTACCCGTGTTCAGAATTACGATTTGGTCATTACAAAGTTATGCATACTGCAAATCTTAAACGAATTATGCAGGACCATAAATTAGGATTAGAAATCACTAGGTGGATTGATTTCTAATGATTTATTTAAATTTACGAGTGATTCTTCATATCTTCCCATATGTTGATAAATTATCCCTCGATTATATAATGCTTCCGCAGAATTTGGATTGATTTTTAATGCTTTATTCAAGTCCACAAGTGATTCTTCATATCTGTATCTGCTTATGCAAGTAAAGTCATTCTCCGATTATTTAATGCTTCTGTATAATTTGTATTGGTTTTAATGATTTATTTAAATCTATAAGAGATTCCTCATATCTGCCCATCTTTTGATACATTAGTCCTCGAATATTTAATGTTTCTACAGAATTTGGATCCACTAGTGACTTATCATTTGCCCAGTTGTTAATAAACTAATCCTCGATAATTTAATATTTCTGCAGAATTTGGACTGATTTCTAATAATTTATTTAAATCCACAAGTGATTCTTCATATCTTTCCATTATTTGATAGGTTAATCCTCGAATATGTAATGCTTCTGCAGAATTTGGATTTACAGTCAACCCCTCTATAGTCACCTCCTCTATAGTCACAAAATTAGTATAATTACAAATTTAGTTTTACCAATTAATTATAGCTATATAAAAAATACCTCTATATTAGTCACACTTCTTTATAATCACGGTTTTTTGTATCCCAAAGGTGTGACTATAGAGAGGTTTGACTGTATTTCTAATGATTTGTTTAAATATACGAGTGATTTCTCATATCTTTCTATTTTAAAATTACAGCATCCTCAACATTTAATACTTCTGTAGAATTTGAATTAATTTCTAATGATTTATTTCAATCCACATAGTGTTGGCAGGCAAAACTTAGAGGTTTCGCCACAGACGAATGGCGAAATCTAGTTCAACTTTTGCAAAAAAAAATTAAATCGGCAAAATGGTGAAAGATTGCGAAACTAGCGAAACTAGCGAAACTGGTGAAACTGGTGAAACTGCTAAAAGGTGATAAAACTAGAAAAAGGTAGCAAATCTAGTGAAAGATAGTAAAATTAATAAAAAAAGCAAAAATAAAAGGTATTTAAAGACAATTAAGGGATTTTTTATATAATAAAGATTTTTAATATTATATATATATACAATATTATATATTATTCATATTACATTTATTTCAGTACATATATTTTTTTAATAAAACTTTTAATAATTGGTAATTTTATTATACTGTATATGATGCTTTTTGATCAACAATGTAAATTTTACTATATTTGATTTATTATAAGTTATTAATAGCCTAACAATTATTTTCTTAAAACTAACTCTAAGATTTAGAGTTAAATAAAGTAGAGCATCGAAAATAATTGGCAGCAATAATAATATTAATGTTGTATCTAAAGTAGCGATCCTATCTAAAGTAGCCACTTTATATATTAAAGTAGCTACTTTAAATATTTAAAATGCTATTTTAAATATCTAAAGTAGCTACTTCAGATATTTGAGGTTATACTATTTAAAGTAGCTACTTTATATTTCAAGTAGCTACTTTGTAAATATAAATAGCTGCTTTAGATAGTTATCTAAAGTGGCTACTTCAGTTATCTATAGTGACTACTTTAGATATCTAAAGTAACTACTTTAGATATCTAAAGTAACTACTTTAGATATCTAATGTAGCTACTTTAAATATTTAAAATTGTTACTTTAGATATTTAAAGTATTTACTTCAGATATCTAAATTACTATTTTAAATATATAAAGTAGCTACTTTAAATACCTATATAAAGCAATTACTTTATATATATAGAGTCAACTACTTTATATATATATAAAGTAAACTACTTTATATATTTAAAATAACTACATAAATATATAAAATGGTTACTCTAGATGCAATATTAACAAACTACTTACATATATAGTCAGCCCCTTTAAATGCATTTCTCTAAGTGCATAACCTCTTTAAATGCATATTATAGTCAGACCTTGGTAACACACTTTAGCAATGTGCATTTAGAAAATAATAAGAAAAAGTGCATTTATTGAGTTAAAGAATTTATTTGGGCCAGAATTTGAGCATATATTTAGAGAGAGTGTGCACTTATAGAGGGTGTGCTTAGAGAGGTCTGACTGTAATTTTCTGGCCCAAATATATACTAAACTCATTTATTATTATTATTCTCCAAATGCAAACCCTCAAAAGTTTGGTCCCAATGATATGCATTTCTGGAGGGTTGACTTTATTTAATTAAAAGTTTTAACAATGAAATATTAAAAAAAAAAAATCTCAACAATCTAACAATAAATTTATTTAAATATTTAAATAAGTTTATTTATATAAATAATATTAATTCATAGATATGCACTACTAAAAGAAAACAAGATTTTAGGTTTTGAATTTTCAAGGTTGAATTTATTTACTTTGAAGTTTCAAAAGCCAAAAAGCTAGTTTCTTTAATAGTACTTGAATACAAACAAAAGGTTATCACCTTGTTTATTGCTTTTTCAATAAACTACATGCAAAATATGTTGGTTTACTAACATGGCTCATTCTTTTCTAAAGCCTTAGAGAATTTTGTCTTCACTGAGGTATGACTTTTCCCAGAGGTTTCAACTTTATCAGGGGTTTCGCCAGAGTTTTGCCGATTTAGTTTTGTCTTTTGCCATTTGCCAAAAATAGTTTTTTTGAGTGAAATAGTAATGGCGCAAAAAATTGGCAGTCCTGTGACCTCCAAGCCAAATCAGATTGGCAAGCATCAGGAATCACTTTGTTGATCTATTTAGATCACCGAAAATTCAATATTTGATTTGCTGCAGATATCAATATGAAAATTTTGATGATTTATTTTTAATAATTTATCTTTGATAATTTATTTTATATGCATTTTCAAAATTAATCATTAATATCTTCATATTTAAACACAATATATAGCAAAAATTAATATATATATATAATATATCTTTGAAATTTATATCAAAATTAGAATTTATGAAAATCAAAATAGATTTTAATATCTTCGAAATTAAATGCAAATTTAATATGCGAAATTAGATGTTAAATAAATGTTTTAGAAATTAAATGTATAATTAAACAGTAATATTTTAGAAATTGCGCAATATCTTCGAAGGTAGTATAATAATGCTGCATGTTTGATAGCAGATAGTCAATTAAATTAAATTAAATATGAAATTAAATGTACAATATATTCAAATAAATTAAATATATAATATTTGAAATAATGATTAAATTTGTAACAGATATCTTTGTATAAATAGGAAGAAGCTAATAATTTAATAATACAATATCACTTGCTTAAATTTCAATCAAACTTTATTTAATTAAAAACATTGTCATACATGTATTGAACTGTGCTATTATATGCTATCCAGTCTCTCTACAATTATTTTTTAGCAACTATTCATCTTTGCTATTATTACGCAATCTAGTCAGCTTACTATACTCTCTTTTCTCATTTCCATACTTTTTATCAACCATCTATCTTTACAATCACTATACTCTTAGTTGCTTATTATAATCCCTTATTCTTGCAATCACTATAACATTTAATCAATAGTTTTTTTACATACCTTTTTAAAATATTATAGAATCTTCAGACAATGGTAAAAGATGTTTCCATTGTGACAAGTATAAGACATAATGAGTTTGTTTGACCAAGTGGAAGTAAATTAAAGGAATTTTCTAACTGTAATACCTGTGTAAAAACCAAAAAAGGTAAAGCTGTACTATTAGTCAACAAGTGTAACAAAAGTTTAGAAGTTACTGAAGATTATGATTTGGATATGATAATTAATGAAATTGACAACAATGTGAATAGAGCATGGTTTAGTTTGACGGATGTAAAAAATCCAATAGAAAATTGTTTTAACACCACTGAAGAAAATGGACATGTATATTTCTCTGGAATGCTAAACTTTGATAATGATCTTATTAATAATATATCAAGTGAAAATCAAGAAAGTAATAAAGAGATTATATGCCAAAATATAGCTGAATCACTTCTTATGTCTATTGAAGCTCGCATTACTATTGAGAAATAAGAAAAGTCTACTCTCATAAGAAGAATAATTAATTAACTGGTGAAGCAACAGTATATATTGGTTGTGCTCAAAGGGAAGATCATAAACATATACATCCAAACAGTCAGCAAGTAAAAAGAGTAAGTGAAGCAAGATTTCAAATTGATCGATATCTATGTGACAGGAATATTAAGCTTAATATTGACATTAATAAATGCTAAATAAATATATATCTTGAACATTTAATAGCTCATACATATCCTATGTACCGTGATAATAACTTGCCCCAATGTGCTATAGCTTGAATATCCTGTAATAAAAATAAAAATATTGGAAAAATCAAATTTTATAAAAGGCTTTGTGAAGAAAAACTTATTAACCCAAATATACATACTTATCAACAAATATACTACTGGGTTATGAAATTTTCTACTCAACAGTATGTCACAAGCATCTCTAATCAGCTCCTTTTGGGTCACAATTTCTTGGATCAAAATGAACTAGTCAACCAAGAATACAAAGTCCTATTATGTATAGAAAATAACTTTGTTAGATCCCTTAGATTTATTACTCCTTTTTTCTACTATATACCAACGAATATAATTATTGAAATTATTTTAGATTCAATGTTTAAAACTAATAAGGAAAAATTTGAGCTTTTTGCTGTCTTAAACAACTGTGGTGGATTTGGAGTCCCACTTGCATACCTATACCTCCATACTTTTGCAGCACCAGTGGAATTACTATAAAAAATATTTATTCACGAGTATTAGTTCTAAAAGAATTTTTTTCTTTACTAAGAACTGAAGGGTAAATATTAAATAACATTAAATAAAAACCTGTAAGCATATACTTTAAGAATTTTATAATTATTCAAAGGATCTAATATTGTAATTGTTTGTATTTTAGAATTCGACCAGCTTTATACTTATAGATAAAGATGCTGGTGAATTAGCTATCGTTAGAAAATTAAAAGAAAAAAATATAAGGCCAGCCAATATACATCGCAAGTAGCCAACGATGCTAAAAGTCAATTTGAATTTATTGATGAATTTTGCTTACCTAATGAACAAAAAAGTGTTATATATACTGAAGAAAATATAAAAGAAATTTTAAAAATAGTTAAGAAACATATATCATTACATCCTCTTATTCCAGTTAACAAAGAAATGTTCTTTACCTCAGTTGAAATTTATTATCTAAGCATTTGAGAAGCATATAAATATTGTAAAAGAAAGAATTTTATTTACTTGTAGGGATATTTGTAGGTCAACTGGTATAAAAAAAAATTATTAGAACCTCTTTTCTCAGGCTTCTTATTCCAAAGCATTACCATTATCAAGGACGACTATGCTAGTGGAATCATATTGGTGTGCTTTCAAGTATGATTATAAATATAGTACCAATTGACCTTGTCTGGATCACTTAATGCAAATTATAACACAAGAATTAATTCCAGAAAAATATATAACTGGAACAAAGTCAATAATAATCGCATATTTCTACGATAGTGGGGAAGATTTAAAAGTGATTGGAAAGCTGCTTTGGAAAAAGAAGTTAGTGTGGAAGGAGAATATCTCACCAATACCAATAAATGGATATGTTCATGTCTTGCATTTGTTGAAAGTAATTACATGGTGTGTAAACACCTTGTTAAAAATTATACTACCCTATATCTGAATTCTTTTCCTAACTTCCTAACCACAAATGAAGACACGACTATCCATTCATTTATTTTGATAAAGATAACTTTCCAATCATTAAGCTGACAAATAATCTCTGGAATAATGAAAGTACTGAAAGTTTTTCAGATGAATCTGAAATTTCAAGTAATGTAGAGTTAGCCCTTCGTAGTCAAAATGAATTAATTGAAACTAGAAAAGCTGAACTAGAAGAAGACAAAAAGATATTTGAATCTTTAATAACTGTAGTTTCTGATAATATTCAAAATGATCATTTTTATGAAACGTATAAAAAACTCAAAAGAACTTTGGTTACCAAAACAATAGCCTGTCAGGAAGCTTTAAGAGCTAGAAGACAACAAAAAACCTGGGATTCTCCCCGTGGATCAAGACTTGCCTTCTGGTTGCAATGAAGTATTTCTATATTGTATTCGTATTGTTGTAATTATATAAAAATATTATAATTAATAAATTGTTCATATAAAATGTAACTGTTTAAAATTTTTTGCACACCATCATTAATATTAAAAAAATAAAAATAAATTTTTCGCACACAATCGGGTACAAAATAACTTGTATGTCATGTATTGGTTAAATTTTGTAGAACCCGGCCTGATTTGATATATTGATCAGCTTGGAGGTCACGTAACCGCCAATTTTTTGCACCATTACTATTTCACTCGTTTTTCCTGCCAACACTAAATTGAACCCAACCCGGGTCCAAGTGAACCTAAGTCGGGTTCACTTGAACCAATCTGGGTCCAAGTAAACTCAAGCTGGGTTCACTTGAACCCAACCCGGGTTCAAGTAAATCCAAGTCGGGTTCACTTGAACCCAACCCGGGTTCACTTGAACCCAAATCAGATTTACTTAAACCAATCTAGGTTCAAGTAAATTCAATTTGGGTTTATTTAAATCCCGATAAAAAAATTTTGATCAAATTTTGTCAGCAATGTTCTAAAAATTTTCTAAAATTATTCTGTTTTTGTTTAAAAAAATGTTCGAAATGGGGTCGATTTTCCGAAAAATTTCTTTTTTTACATCACAGTATAAAAATTGTACAATATCGTACTTGAATTCGGAAAATCGACTCCATTCCGAGCATTTTTTCGTACAATGCCTACAATAACTGAACAAACTTTTTTTTTATAGGGAATCTAACTTGGTTTAAGTAAAATCCAAATAATATAAAAAATTTCAAACTTCCCCCTAGGCCTGAGAGCTAATAACACAAATTAAAAGCTTAATTTATTGTTTATGAGTGACAAATTCGGGAGTTATGTGTCCCACCCTATAAAAAAAGTTTGTAGTTATCGTAGGCATTGTCCAAAAAAAGTTCGGAATGGAGTCGATTTTCCGAACAGGGTTTATGTTTGTACTGTTTTCATAACGACTTTTGTACGGGAAGTAAAAAAATAGAAAATTTTTGATTGAAAATTATCGTATAAAAAACGTATAAAAAACGTATAAAAAACGCATTCATCCAATAAACATTCTTTAAATGTTCGAAACGGAGTCGATTTTCCGAACAAAAATTGAATAATTTCAGAATTTTCCGAACAATTCCAAGAGATTTTTTTTATAGGGCACAAATAGAGTTTGAACAGACTTATTTTAATATGTTAAACCAAATTTTAATCGGGTTAAGATATTACGTTGAAAATCTAGGATATTGAGTCAGTATCTTCACTAAACTGAACTTTGCAACCGACTTATAAGATTTGAGTGGGTTAAAAGCTGCGTGTTATATTTGTTAAGTGGGCCGGGCTGTAATTTGAAAATTTTACAAACCTCTTAAAATTGCGGGCTTGCCCTATAAAAAAAGTTTGTTCAGTTATTGTAGGCATTGTCCAAAAAAATGTTCAGAACGGAGTCGATTTTCCGAACAGGGTTTATTTTTGTACTGTTTCATATCGATGGTTGTACGGGATGTAAAAATAGAAAATTTTTGATTAAAAATTATCGTATAAAAATGCATAAAAAATTTATGAAAAATGTATAAAACATAAACATCCAATAAACATCCTTTAAAATGTTCGGAACGGAGTCGATTTTCTGAACAAAAAATTGTATAATTTCAGAATTTTCCGAACAATTTCAAGAGATTTTTTTTTTATAGGGCTGGTGTCTCAAAAACATAGTAAATTGCGGACCGAACTTTTAAAAAATATAGTAAATTTTATTTTGCGGACCGTGCGGGCCGGCTAAAATACAAAATTTTAAACCCATGCAGGGCTCTAGATAGATTAGTAAAAGGACCTTGTAACAAATACTGAACTTTTGTATGACAGAATGCTGAATTTCAAATGCAAGGCCTAAACAATTTAAACACCAATCAAAGCTTAAATTCTTTATGATTTCATGAACTATAACCCTATAAAAAAAGTTTGTTCAGTTATTGTAGGCATTGTCCGAAAAATGTTCGGAGCGGAGTCGATTTTCCGAACAGGGTTTATTTTTGCACTGTTTTTATATCGATGTTTGTACGGGATGTAAAAATAGAAAATTTTTGATTAAAATTTATCGTATAAAAATGCATAAAAAATTTATGATAAATGTATAAAGCATAAACGTCCAATAAACATCCTTTAAAATGTTCGGAACGGAGTCGATTTTCTGAACAAAAAATTGGATAATTTCAGAATTTTCC